ATTGTACAACCACTTCCCTATCCATCTCCAGAACTTTTCAGCCATCTCAAGTTGAACCCATTAAACAATAACCCCCATCCGTCCCTCTCTCCCTCCCCACCCCTAAGCTCTGGTGACCACTATTCTACTTTCTGTCTCTATGAGTTTGTGATTCTAGGTATCTAATATAAGTGGAGTCATGTAATATTTGTCCTCTTGTGTCTGGTTTATTTCCCTTAGCATAATGTCCTCAAGGTAGCATGTATCAGAATTTCATCCTTTTTAAGGCTGAATAATATTGTATGTGTATATATAACATTTTGTTTCTCCATTCATCCATTGGTGGACACTTGGGTTTTTTTCCCCTTTTAGCTATTGTAAATAATGCTGCTATAAACATTGGTGTGCAAATATCTGAGTCCCTGCTTTCAGTTCTTTTGGGCTTATACCTCGAAGTGGAATTACTGGATCAGATGGTAGTTCTGTATTTCATTTTTTAAGGAACCACCATACTGTCTTCCACAGTGGCTGCGCCATTTCACATTCCCACCAGCAGTGCACAAGTGTTCCAATTTCTGCACAGCCTCACCAACACTTGTTATTTTCTTTAAAAAAAAAAAAAAAAATCCACCCAAATGGGTGTAAAATGGTTACCCTCTTTCTTTCTTAGCCTATGGGATACTTAGCCACTTCTGATTCAGTTTTCCTCCTTCCCTCTGTCTCTTTCATTCTTCATCTGATATTTGTTGAGCATCTCCTATGTGCCAAGCTCAGTGCTAAACACTGGGGATATTGTGGTCAATAAGATAGGTGTCGGGGGCACCTGGGTGGCTCATTCGATTAAGCGTCTGCCTTCAGCTCTGGTCCTGATCTTGGGGTCCTGCTAACGAGCCCTGCAATCAGGCTGTCTGCTCAGCGGGACATCTGCTTCTCCCATCAGTCTCCCTGATGGGAGAAGCAAGAGAGAGAGAAAGTGAGAGCAAGAGAGAGAACCCTCTGTGCTCTCTCTCTTGCTCTCACTTTCTCTCAAGTACATAAATAAAATCTTAAAAAAATAAAATAAGATGGCTGTGGTCCCCACCCCTCAAGGAGGAAGCGTAATCTCTTCAGTGTTGTTTGAGCAAATGAATGCCATTCTGTGCTACAGAAGTCAATATTGACCTGTCAAAGGATCTCTGTAAGTCCTTAACAGTAAAGGTGGGAAGGATCAGCTTCCACCTTCTACTCCTTGGGGACGAAGAATTTATGGTCATTGAGCAATGAGTACATTACAGCAACTCTTTGACCCCCAAGGGGAAGGGGAGTTGGAAGCTAAGCTATATTAAAAGTTTGAAAGAAGCAGTGAGTGAGGGGAGGGCAGCCTCAGCAGCGGGACACTGATGCTGAGAAGCTTAGCAAACCACAGAAGTGTGTGGAGGGTCAGGTAGTAGCTTGAGAAGGAACTGGACTGTTTGGCTCAGAGCAGAGGGAATTGAAGGAGGCTCTAACTTGTCAATGTCTCAAAGAGCGCAAAATGTAGAAGGCCTGCACTTGCAGTGAGGGTAGAACCCAAGCCCAAGATGGTTCTTCTGTATACCTTTTCATTCATTCCCTCATTCATTCCACTCATTCATGCAACAAAGCCTTATTTTACACTTTTCCGGTGCCAGGCTTTGCCAGGGTACTGAGTGTAATTTGGTGAGCAAAGCAGTTTGGTTCCTGCCTCTGTGAGTCTCATAGCCTAGTGAAGGAGCCAAGCAAATGAACAAGAAATCAAATGCATGTAACATTGCAAATGGTAAGAATGCTATGAGGGGTAGAACAGGGTATGATAAGATGATCTTGGGAGAGGGGCGCCTGGGTGGCTCAGTCGTTAAGCGTCTGCCTTCGGCTCAGGTCATGATCCCAGGGTCCTGGGATCGAGCCCCACATCGGGCTCCCTGCTCCGCGGGAAGCCTGCTTCTCCCTCTCCCACTCTCCCTGCTTGTGTTCCCTCTCTTGCTGTCTCTCTCTCTGTCAAATAAATAAAATCTTTAAAAAAAAAAAAAAAGATGATCTTGGGAGGGAGGTGTTCAGGAAATAAGTGATTGTGAAAGACTTCTCTGCACAGGTGACATTCAGGCTGAGGCCTAAGGGATAGGAAGATGTTGGTCATCGGGAGAGCATTCCGCACAGTGGCCAATGTGTGCAAGGGTTCCATGGTGGGAAATAGCCGGACATGTTCAAGGAATGGAAAGGAGGCCATTGGGCCAGAGCATTCGCTTTCATCTGAGGTGCAACTGGAAGCAATTGAAGGGTTTTTAAGTGGGAAAGAAAACAGATATGACTTATGTCTAAAAATGATTACTCTGGCTCCTTTAGAGAAAGTGAATTGAAGGAGGCAAAGGTGGATGCTGGGGAACCGGTCGAGGGCCATTACAGTGGTCCGAGGGAGAAAGTTTGTGGTTGGAACCCAAGTTTGGGGAGTGGATGGACTTAAGATCTATTTTGGAGTTAGAGTCTCCAGGATTGAATGATGGGTTGTTGAGGGGGAAATGAGGGAGAAGGAGGAATACAGACCAAGCCCTAGGGTTGTGTGCATAGAGGGAACATTAATGGAAATGAAAGGTAGGAAGAGCAGTAACTCTGGGGGAACCAAAATCAAGAGTGAGGTTTGGATAGGTTACATGCCTGGTTGCCATCCAAGTAGAAATGTCAAGTAAGTAGTTGTATCTGGAGCACAGAGGAGAGATCTGGGCTAGGAAAATAAATTTGGGAGCCAGGGAAAGATGAAATTGCCTAAAGAGTACAGCAAGTGAAGAAAAGCAAGCCCAGGACTGAGCTTTGGGAAGGGCAGGCCCCTCCAACATTTACCAGCGAAATGGAAGAGGAGGAAAAGGCAGTAAGATGGGAATGCCAAGAGAGGGCAGCATCATGGAAACCAAAAGAGGGGGTACTTCGAAAAGAGAAGGAGTCGACTCTATTAAATGTTCCTGAGATGTCAAGTAAGAGAGAGACAAAAAGTGATCTTTGGGGAGAAACATGGAGATCATGCGTGACCTTGAAGAATACAGTCAGGGGGGGAAAGGGGGAGGCAGGTGCCGGTGGGTGGCATCCTAACTGTTGGGGTCACTCGGCTTTGCTGTGATCTCTGGGAAACCATGAAACCTTTGGGCATCGGCAAACGGTGAGGTGAGGAGGGTCTTGTGTGGCTGATCGAGAGGACCTGATGCCTCAGAAACTCAGGCAGGCAGAGTGTTCTATGTCTCCTGCCTCTGACTGGTGTATGGGAAGCTCAAGCTTCCCAAACCTGACAAGACGGTGCAGGGGTTCGAGGATCCTTGGAAACATCCTCCTCCAGATCCTGCTAACTAACCTGTTTCCCTCTCCCCCTGCCTCTGCCCCTCCAGGACACTTCACAGCCATGGTGTGGAAGAATACAAAGAAGATGGGAGTGGGGAAGGCATCTGCAAGTGACGGGTCTTCCTTCGTGGTGGCCCGATACTTCCCAGCAGGGAATGTCGTCAACCAGGGCTTCTTTGAAGAAAATGTCCTGCCTCCAAAGAAGTAATTCATTAAATGTAATGGGAATGTGGCAGACTTAACATGGATACGAAGTGCCTAGAACAACAAAAACTCAGCTGTGTGTCTGTCCCTGTGCGTGTATGTGCTTGTGTGTGTGATGCATGTGAGTGTGTCTTGCACACGCACTTGGATATACGCTTCTGTATGAACTTATTCTTATCAAAAGGAATGAGCCTATGAAGCCTTTACCCTGATGGTTCCCTAGACCACAATTATTTGGACGCAGGGGGGAAAGAATCAATTTTAAAACTTTTTTGTTTTTGTAAGCAAACTTCTTTTGTACATTTCTTATAATATCCATCCCTGGGCTTTTTCTATTCCAAACGTTTGTGATGCTTTGAGGTGAAGTTCATTTTATGTGATCTTCATGCATTGTAATCTACTTTTGGTAGATATGTAAGATTAGTAAACTCTCATTTAAATGTAACATAAAACAGCTTTAAACACGTAAATATAGAGCAGCTTCCATTGGAAACATGGGACAGGCAGGAACTGCATTTCACAGAATGATTGGGATTGCTCAATTGTAAGACATGATGTCATCTGCATGCCTCCTGGAATTCTCTGATGGGAATGCCAAAGAACAAATGGAGAGAAAAGTTGCACTTCCTTGCATTTTCTATCTTTAAATAGCAAAGCACGACTACTACCACTGCCCTTGCCCTCCTCCCACCTTTTTTCTTAAAATCCTCTGGCATCTCAGAGCTCGGTATGTGCCTCCTGGTTTCTGGGGCCTGGGTCTGAAAGCCACCCCTCCCCCACCTCGGCGAGGGGGCCCAGGGCCTGTTCGGGGAGGAAGCCCCTCACGCTGCCCGGGCTCTCGGCCAAGCGTCTGACCGATGAGGTCAGCGAGCGTGGGGTGAGTGTGAGCTCACCAGGGCCCCCGGAGGAAGCCCTCGGCCTCTGGCCTGCCCTCGCACCCAGGGCGGGAGCCCCGGCCTGTTCGGCAGCCGTGGCAGCAGCTGCGCCCTGCTCCCTCCTGGGGTGTGTGACAGGCCCAAGTGTTCCAGGGGGACAGCCCACGTGGGGGCTTAGACTCGCCCGTTTGCTTCTTTGTTTTGCCTCACACCCTACAAAGTTCCCCTGAGTAACGGTTTCACGTGGTCCGCGTGGGAGGAACCGACCCAGACGCCCAGCTGGGTGTCCTGAAAGCATGGCCTGTCCAAGCGCTGAGACGGCCGGGGTGGGAGTTAGGAGGCTGCCGCCTTAGGGTCAGTCGGAGCAGGCCCGTCAGGGAACATGCTTCCCGAAGGTCTGCGCTGCACTGTGAACACAGCCTCGTGCTGTGCCCTTCACTTCACCCAGGGATAGTGACTGAGACAACAATAAAGTTTTCTTCTTTTGTGTAACATCTTCCATGTCATTCATGCCCGATTCTTGATTGGTGACTAAGGTAATCATAACTCTTCGTTCCTGTCTTAGGTAACTCAGGCTTCCCAGGACGTCCGACCTCTCCCCGGTACCTTGCGCCCCTTTGGCAGCTGCGTTTTGATCCGTGTGACCTACCCTCACACGGCTGACTGGACTGAAGTGGACATGTGATCCAAGGGCAGCCAATCCCTGGGCTGGCCATGGACCAGGAATTTGAGCTAAGAAATGAGCGGAGCGTTTGCCAGTGGAACTAAAAAAATTAGGATGCCATGAGTCTGGGTTAGGGCCGTGGCCAGCCAGAACTATATGCAAGCCAACTTGCCAGTTGAAAATAAGTGGAAGTGAGAAAGCCAGTGTTAGAGGAACAAAAGAGGTGGCGCTCCTGAGCTTTCCAGCTCTGGGCCCAATCCGCGTATCGTTAAAACATACCCCTCGTCTTCAGGGCTTCCCAGCAAAAGGATATGTCAACTGATGTTCCCCAGAAGGTTGGAATATGAGGGTCCCCTCCCCGAGGGAGTCTTCTTAAGCCAAAAATGCTGAGCTGGGCCGGGAGTGGAGGGTGGGTGGAATAAAAAGACTGGGCTGAGGCCACACCTGGGCAGCCACCATGAGCAACAGGGACTGAATGATCAGTCAGTGGACTTCCTGGTGGCTCCTGGCGAGACCTTGCGCGAAATACACATACACAACCAGGGGGTGGACACTGGCCTGCAGCCAAGCTCGTGAGGCTGGCATCTGTTTCCTCAGTTGGCTGGAGAAAGATAAAAGCTGACCAGAAGAGCTTTCTAGGCTGAAGAAAAGCCAGGCAACAAAGCTGGCTGAGCAGGTGGGCACTAATTTTACTTCTTCAATGGATTTCTTTTTTTTTTTTTTTTAAAGATTTTTATTTATTTATTCTTGAGCGACAGAGAGAGAGAGAGGCAGAGGGAGAAGCAGGCTCCCAAGGAACAGAGAGCCCGATGAGGGACTCGATCCTAGGACCCTGGGATCATGACCTGAGCCGAAGGCAGATGCTCAACCATCTGAGCCACCCAGGCGCCCTCCTCAATGGATTTCTTAAAGACAGCAACTCCCACAGTTCAATTAGAGCAGAGGACAAGCCAGACTGCCAGCTCTCCTTTGTAGCCAGAGAACCGAGGAAGGAATCGGGGACCCCAGCTCCAAGCTCTAGCCCTGTGCTCTCAGAGTTGTGCTCCCTTCCCCACTCTGGGCTGCAGTCTGTCCAGCTGTACAAGGTCTGGCACATGGAGTTAAGTCTACTGGACCTTCTCAGGTCCGTGACACCCCCTATGCCCAACTTTCTCAACTGGAGAGACCTTCCTGCCCTGGTGGTCTGGCCTTGAAACAAAAGCAAAGGGGCCCAGCCTACTCCACCAAAGTGCCCCAGGACGTGGGGGCCAAGGGGCAGATGCAACAACAGGCCTGACCCCACCCATGCTCTACTCTTGGTTGGAATGCCCCAGGAGGTGAGGTCGGCCAGCCTCTCGCCAGGGCAGGCCTAGATGCCAATAGGAATGAAAAAGTGTCTGGTATCAACACCAAGAGGTCTCACCTGTGCCTAAATTGCTGCCACCCCTTGCGAGATCAGGGCTGGCGAAGCCTTGAGAGCTCAGTTAATCTCACGTGGAGAAAACGGGAGAACCCACCCAGACCACACAGCTAGTCTGGTGCAGAGGCTGAAATCTAAGCCTTTTTATGGGGAAAACAGAAGTTCTTAGCTTTGTGCAGAGATCCGTCAAGAGACTGAGGGCCTCTATACCATTCAGGAATCAAGGTGAACAGATTCAGCATTAAAACGTAAGTACTTTGGGGCACCTGGGTGGCTCAGTGGTTAGGCGTCTGCCTTCCGCTCCGCTCATGGTTCCAGGGTCCTAGGATCGAGCCCCACATCGGCCTCCCTGCTCTTCGGGAAGCCTGCTTCTCCCTCTCCCACTCCCCCTGATTGTGTTCCTTCTCTTGCTGTGTCTCTCTCTGTCAAATAAATAAATAATATCTTTTTTTTTGAAAGATATTATTTATTTATTTGAGAGAGAGAGCATGAGAGGGGTGAGGGTCAGAGGGAGGAGCAGACTCACTGCTAAGCAGGGAGCCCCATGCGGGACTCGATCCGGGACTCCAGGATCATGACCTGAGCCGAAGGCAGTCGCTTAACCAACTGAGCCACCCCAAAACAAAAAACGTTAAGTGCTTTTGAAGTTGTCAAGTTGCCAAATCCCAAAGAAAAAGCCAGGTCGGAAATGGAAGAATGAGGTACAGAGACGCTGAACGATCACCTGACTAAGCCAGGGAAGGAAAGAGCAGGCGGGCTCCCATTCCCCAAGCGTCAGGCGCCACTCTTCCTTGTAGGGGCGCTAAGGACGACCTAAGGGTCAGGGGTGGCGCTTGGGGCCCAGGTCCTCTCGGAACCACGTGGCCATCGCCGCAAAGGCCTTCGAGTTGAGCCCCTTGCCGGGAGCCCCCCAAGGCTGGTCCGGGGTGGGGCCCCTGGGCTCTCCCACTCTCGGCAGAAGCCGTCCGCCCTCCGTGGGGGCTCCGGCTGACCCTTAGCCCTTCCTCGGCACGGGCACTCCCGGAAGCCCACGCCCGCGCGGGGGCGGCGGAATCTGCGGGCACCCCACCCGGCGGGGGGCCCGGGGTGACGCCCCGAGTCAGAGTCGGCTTGTCTGCCGGGCTCCGCACCCCACCTGTAAAGCGGGCACAGGCGGCTTTTTGGTGAACGTGGGAGGCCCTGCCACGGGCGTTCCAGTCGCCGCGGGCGGCCGGACGCGAGGGAGCCCTGCGGCCAGGGGGCCGGGAGGCTGGGAGGGGGCGCTGCTGTCCCCGCGGGGAGGGGCTGCGGCGGGCGAGCGCAGGGGGCGGGCCGCCGGGGCCTGCGAGCCCGAGATGGCTCTCCGCCTCCACCGCGTGGCCGGACGAGGCTGGCGGAGCCCGCCCAAACGGGGCGCGGGATTCCGGAGGGATTCCAGACTCCCCCCCACCCCCAAACACCAACCAGACGACACGACAGGTATTTACGTATAAAGGGAGCAGCCAAGGACACCGGCGCTGGGTGAACTAAGATGGTATCAATAAAGTAACGGCAGCTAACATTTACTGAACGTTTACTACAAGCCAAACATTGTTACTTAACGCGCTCTCATCACTATCTCATTTAAATTCTTAATAATCTTCTAAGCGGGTACTATTACTCCCATGTCACAGATGAGGAAACTGAGGTTTAGAGAGTCTGAGCCACTTGTCCAAGTCGACGTTTGATGGAGAGAGCTGACCCACCACAGCCCCCAAAGTTGCATGACCACAGATTTGAAAATGTGGACAGGGTGCCTGGGTGGCTCAGTCGTTAAGCGTCTGCCTTTGGCTCAGGTCATGATCCCAGTGTCCGGGGATCGAGTCCCACATCGGGCTCCCTGCTTGGCAGGAAGCCTGCTTCTCCCTCTCCCACTCCCCCTGCTTGTGTTCCTGCTCTAGCTATCTCTCTCTGTCAAATAAATAAATAAAATCTTTAAAAAAAAAAAAAAGAAAGAAAATGTGGACAGAAGGTCCCAGTTTGCTGTGGAACTGAAATCATCAGGGCTTCAGAGGTGCTCCCACCCCCTGTGTGTGGCTCACTCCTCTATCCCTACTCAGCCAGTGGCCTCCACACCTCCCTCTATTTTATTTTATTTTTTTAAAGATTTTATTTATTTATTTGAGAGAGAGAATGAGAGAGAGCACATGAGAGGGGTTAGGGTCAGAGGGAGAAGCAGACTCCCCGTGGAGCAGGGAGCCCGTTGAGGGACTCGATCCAGGGACTCCAGGATCATGACCTGAGCCGAAAGCAGTCGCTTAACCAACTGAGCCACCCAGGCGCCCATCTCCTTCTATTTTAAAGAAGAATGGTGTCCATGGCTACAGAGTTCAGAAGGCAAAGGACAGAGCCTGAAATTCTTCTCTGATGGCCAGGAGCCTTGGCAGAGAAAGGTACCTAGAGGCCTGAGAATCAGAGACTGGGGAGAGTTAGGTAGTTAGGAGCTTCCTGGAAAGATGAAGAGTACTGAGTTATAGAAGGCTTGGCTTCCATGCCCTGGTCTGATTCCAACCTGCTGTGTGATCTTGGGCAAGTTCCTTCTCTTCTCTGGGCTTGTTTCCCTCCTGTACATGGAAGGATCCTTCTAGATCCAAAAATCTCTTATCTTCCCCCACCTTCCCCTTTTCCCTTCCTATACCACCCCCACCCAGACTGGCTCCGACATTCCAAAAATAGCCTTGAACTGAGTTTTAAAAGCGCCAGGTAAGAGCTGCAACCCATCTCTGAGATTCTCCTGAGCTCTGGGCCCAGGGCTTTAAATCCTGGCAGGGTATCTAGCCTTGGCAGGTTGGAGCCATCAGAGGGGAGAAAGGTCCTGTGCCTCTGAGAAAGGCCTCAGGGGCTGGCATTGTGATGACCTCATCCATTCTATGACATCACCCTCTCTCCCAGCCCCCCTCCTCCCTGATCAACTACTCTGCAAACAACCATCAATCTGAATCCCAAAGGCCTGAGAACGTCTGTTCTCCAGTACCTGCTGCTGATCTTCTGCCTCAGCCAGCAAGAAGCACCATGAAACTGGAATTCACGGAGAAAAACTACAACAGCTTTGTGCTGCAGAACCTGAACAAACAGAGGAAACGCAAAGAGTACTGGGACATGGCCCTGACTGTGGACCACCATGTTTTCTTTGCACATCGCAACGTGCTGGCTGCTGTCTCCCCACTGGTGAAGAGCCTCATCTCCAGCAATGACATGAAGACCACCGATGAGCTCTTCATCACCATTGACCCCAACTACCTGAGTCCGGCCACGGTGGACCAGCTCCTGGACTACTTCTACAGTGGCAAGGTGGTGATCTCGGAGCAGAACGTGGAGGAGCTCCTTCGCGGGGCCCAGTATTTCAACACACCACGCCTTCGAATCCACTGTAACGACTTCCTGATTAAGTCCATCCGCCGTGCAAACTGCTTGCGCTACCTCTTCTTGGCTGAGTTGTTTGAGCTCAAAGAGGTATCAGACTTGGCCTACTCTGGCATTCGTGACAACTTCCACTACTGGGCCAGTCCTGAGGGCTGTATGCACTTCATGCGCTGTCCACCTGTCATCTTTGGCCGCCTGCTCCGAGATGAAAACTTGCATGTGCTCAATGAGGACCAGGCTCTCAGCGCACTCATCAATTGGGTGTACTTCCGGAAGGATGAGCGGGAGAAGTATTTCAAGAAGTTCTTCAACTACATCAATCTTAATGCCGTCTCCAACAAGACACTGATGTTTGCCAGCAACAAGTTGATGAGCATGGAGAACAGCTCAGCCCATGCAACCCTGATTGAGAGTGTCCTCATGGACCGAAAGCAGGAGAGGCCATCCAGCCTGTTGAGCTACCAGCGGAAAGGGGCCCTGCTTGATTCGGTGGTCATCCTGGGTGGCCAAAAGGCCCATGGCAAGTTCAATGATGGAGTGTTTGCCTACATCATCCAGGAGAACCTGTGGCTGAAGCTGTCAGAGATGCCCTATCGGGCGGCAGCACTTAGTGCCACCTCTGCTGGTCGCTACATCTACATCTCTGGTGGTACCACTGAGCAGATTTCTGGGCTGAAGACAGCTTGGCGGTATGACATGGATGACAACTCCTGGACCAAGTTGCCAGACCTGCCGATTGGGCTTGTCTTCCACACCATGGTGACCTGCGGGGGGACAGTGTACTCAGTGGGTGGGAGCATTGCTCCAAGGCGGTATGTCTCCAACATCTATCGCTATGATGAGCGCAAGGAGGCCTGGTGCCTGGCAGGGAAGATGAGCATCCCTATGGATGGCACAGCCGTGATCACCAAGGGTGACCGGAATCTGTACATTGTCACGGGGCGGTGCTTGGTGAAAGGCTATATTTCCCGGGTTGGAGTGGTGGACTGCTTTGACACCAACACTGGGGATGTGGTCCAGTGTATCACCTTCCCCATTGAGTTCAACCACCGGCCCCTGCTCTCTTTCCAGCAGGACAACATCCTCTGTGTACACAGCCACCGGCAGAGTGTGGAAATCAACCTGCAGAAGATAAAGGCCAACAAGACAACCACCTCGGTGCCTCTCTTGCCCAACAACTGCCCCTTAGATGTGTCCCATGCTATATGCTCCATTGGAGACAGCAGAGTGTTTGTATGTGGGGGCGTCACCACAGCCAGCGATGTCCAGACAAAGGACTACACCATCAACCCAAATGCCTACTTGTTGGACCAAAAGACAGGCGAGTGGAAGACCCTGGCCCCCCCACCGGAGGCACTGGACTGTCCTGCCTGCTGTCTAGCCAAGCTACCTTGCAAGATTCTTCAAAGGATTTAAACAACTTTTTCAGTGGGAGAATAAGTAAATGCATTATTATTCACAATTTAATGAGAGAGAGAGGAAGATGGCCTGTTGGTTCCTTCTTAGTGTTCCAGTCTGTTTGGCCCTGACAGTGGAGATCCTGGGCTAGGGCTGCTCCCAGTGGGTGGAAATTCAGGGCGACTCTGTCATTGGAGGGATCCAAGCTGAGGCTGGAATGGAGTCCCTGATGGGTGGGACTGAAGCATCTCCTGGGCACTGGCCAAGGTGGTGTCTGGAAAGCCCCCATTCTATCCCCTATAGTTCTCTCGCCGGCATCTGCTAGATGGACAGATAAAGTGTTTGCTTAGAGTTATGAAGCCTCAGGCTCCTCCAACACTCACTGCCCTCGAGTCTGTCCAGGAGGGCAGGGGAGGGCCAATCCCAGGTTTGGGACAGGAGGCTCATGGGCTGGGCTGGGGGGTGGGGGTGGAGAAAATGATGTGGGAAAGGCTCAGGGAGGGGGATAGCCGGAACCGAGCAGGCAGGGTCACTTGGCTGTTGTATTTGCCCACACAGCTGTGGTGTGTTGAGTCTTATTTGTGGGGAAGTTGTGGGGTTACTTACAACTGTTTTCAGTAAGCAAAGTACATCAGGAACTTTCTCGAGGAATACAGGGCCTGAGGGACTGGGAGTGAAAGAGAGATCAGTAAAGGGAGAAAAAAAGAAGTCTATGCAGTAGTCCCCCCTTATCTGTGGTTTTACTTCCTGTGGTCAGCTGTTGTCCAGAAGCAGACGATCCTGCTTTGGACGAATCCGCGGAAGGTCGGTCTTAGCCCTACACTATGTCACAACGCCCCCGTCATTCCCCTCCCCTCATCTCTTCACATAGGCAGGTTAGCATCTCACATCGTTACAAGAAGGGGGAGTACAGCACAATGAGATGTTTTGAGAGAGCGGGAGAGGCCACATTCACATGACTTTATTACAGTAAATTGTTAAATTTGTTCTATTTTTCATTATTGTTATTATTCTCTCACTGTGCCTAATTTGTAAATTAAACTTTATCATAGGTGTGTGTGTACAGGAAAAAACCTAGTATATAGAGAGAGGGTCTGGCACTACCTGCAGTTTCAGGCAGCGACTAGGGGTCTTGGAACGGATCCCCTGCAGATAAGGGGGGACTACTGTATCTCTGCTGGGAAGAACCTTGGAGATGAGGTGAGAGGACAGGATGGTGTCGTAGCTGGGAGCATGGCCACTGGGGCTTAAAACCAGTTCCACCACCTGCTGGGTAATCCTGGCCAAACTACTTCAGGTCTCTGTGCCTTTGTTTCCTTATCTGCAAAAGAGAGAGAGCAAGAGTGCCTACCTCCTAGGGTGATGTGAAGCTTAAATGAGTTAATACGTGCAGCATACCTAGGACGGTTCCTGGCATTATTACGGTGCTACAGGAGAACATTTTTTTTTAAAGGAAAAAAAAGAAAAGAGTGTGGCAAGGGTCCAGGTTCTTGAGCCTTTATATCAAGTAAGGTCCCCTAAAAGGCTCTTAGAGACTCCCTCCCTCAAAGTCTTGGCGAGCTTTCCTCAATTCTAACTATCTCTGTTTCCCTTTCATCCAGTGGTGTACTAATCTATAATCCTCCACAACTGAGAAGAAAATTACCAAGTCCTTGAGAACCATATACGATCCTCATTTATCCACTCATTCATGAATTTACTTATTCATCTATTCATCAATTCACACACACACACACACACACACACACACCATTCCCTGAGGCCTCTCTGTGCAGGTCCTTGTCCCAGGTGTTGGGGCCACAGGCATGACACAGACGATCCATGTCCCAGTAAGGGAGCATCTAGAGCAGTTCTGTGCAATAGAAATGTAACGCAAGCCACATATGTAATTTAAAGTTTTCTAGAAGCTTCACTACAAAAGTAAAAATAAATAGGTGAAATTACTTTTAATAATATATTTTATTTAACCCAATAGATCCAAATATTAAATAATCAGTGTAAACATTTATTAATGAGATATTTACTTTTTTTTTTTCATATTAAGGCTTTGGAATCGTGGGTATATTTTACACTTAGAGCACAAATGGATTTGGACTAACCAAATACATAAGGCTCCAGGAGGCTGGTGGCTACTGTATTATATCGTGCAGGACAGTTTAGATAGCTTCATGGCTCAAACCTGCTCCATCCCCTTCTTTTTCCCTCTCAGTCCTGTTCGACCTGCTCTGCATCATCTTCTTGACCTCTCTGCTGGGTGGCCACTTGCTTCAAAGCCCACCTTCTGCCCAAGTCTTACTTTGCTCCCTGAAAGTGAGGACCTTAGACTTCACAGCTGACCCTCTCTTCTCTGGAACCTCCCCACCTTTCTCACTTCTTCAGCGCAGGACAGCCCCCAGCTCTGTGGCCTCACTGCCATTCTCCAGGTGGAAGTACAAAAGGGTCCTACAGATCCAAGCAACTCAGCCCAGCTGCCCCCACCCCCAGCCCACCAGGCTTATCTGACTCCGGATGCCATTCTCCACAGCTGATTCTCTAGCCCTCTCTGGTGTCCTGAGGCCCCACTCTTCTCCTCTCCTCTTTCTCAACAGCTTACCTCTCCTTCTGCCACCAGATCTCCAGAGAAAGAGAGGTCACATGATCTGAGCTCCACGAACAGTCCCACATCCACCAAAACTCTCTCCAGAGCTTCTGCTGCTTTCCTGCCTCTCAGAGGAAGCTGTGTCCTCCCACGATTCAACGCCGATCCCCCTCCCCTGGCTCTCCATTTTGTCACCTCGCAGCTTCTCAGGACCCCTCAGTTCCTTCTCTCTATACATCCCCTTCCTGACTTTTTCTCTTTATTCCATAAATATTCTCAAGTTTCTCTTTTTCTGGAAACAAACCCTCTTCAGCTCTGAGGCCCACCTCTTGCTATCTGCCCATCTTTTTCCTCAGCTAAACGTCCTAAATGTCTCTGCTCTCTGGCTCCATCTCTCATTTCCAGATCAATCTCTAAATGACTCAGTCTGTCTTCTGTTCCTACCATGCTACCAAACTGTCTCCTAACAACATTGTCCTCTTTGTCCTTTTCTCCATCGATTCTTTCCCTTGCAGTACTGGGCAGCATCGACCTCTCTTGCCTGTAGCAGAATCACTAGGATGCTTGCTAAAAAGGGAGATCTTTGGCATACCTAAGCCCTCCCCACATTAAAATTAGACCATAAGGTTGAAACATTCAAGGCTTAGCACCTTGAGGAGGCTGGCAGAGCCAAATGCCGGACTCAGAGTCAAAATCTTGGCTTTAGCTACAAGGGAAGCTTTAGCAATTCATAGCAGAGATTGTGGTCTTGAAAGACAAGGCTTTTGAACTACAACTCAGGTCTTCAAACTCAGGAACATGAAGTCTTTCCAAGGGTAATTCAGACATGCACAGTTTTTAGGGAATCGGTTTCCGGATCTTCAACTTTTTTCCTAAAATCAGTCTACCTGAGAATACACCTGTGGTGATTTCCTTCTAGTTCTCTTTTCCCACCTTCCCTTTCAAAATTATTCTTCAAACACCTTACACACACACACACACACACACACAAACACACACACACACAGCAACCTTTACCCATTCCATATCTTCCTAGGATGTCCTGCCTCATGATGCCACACAACGGTGTAAACGGATGTCCATGAAGCCTCCTTTCATCAAGACACCAACAGCCAAAGAAGAGTTTGTTGTATTTTTCTGTCTTACTTTTACAGTATTTCTGTTAAGGTGTGAAGTCTGGTGTTAAAAACTGGGGTTCTTTGGTCCAAGTTAGGTTGTTCAGAATAAATAGCATGATGGAATGATGACATATTTTTTTTAAAGATTTTATTTATTTATTTGAGAGAGAGAGAGTGAGAGAGAGAGCCCAAGAGGGGGTAGGGTCAGAGGGAGAAGCAGACCTCCTGCCGAGCAGGGAGCCTGACGTGGGACTCGATCCCAGGACTCCGGGATCATGACCTGAGCCGAAGGCAGTTGCTTAACCAACTGAGCCACCCAGGCACCCTGATGACATATTTTGAAAAGCTTTTTTATAGAGATATAATTCACCTACCATATAATTCAACCAAAGTGTACAATTCATTAGCTCTTAGTATATTCACAGAGTTGTACGATCATTATCACAATCAATTTTATAACTTTCTCATTACCCCAAAAAGAACCCTTGAACTTCTTAGTTGTCACTCTCTAACTCTCTTATCTTCCCAGCCCTAGGCAACTGCTAGTCTACTTTCTGTCTCTATGGATTAGCCCATCCAAGATGTTTCATAAAAATGGAATCATTCAGTATGTGACTTCTTACCTGGCTTCTTCAACTTAGCATAATGTTTGCAAGGTTCACCTATGTCGTGGCATGAGCCGTTACATCATTCCTTTTTACGGCTGAATAATATTCTACCGTATGGATATACCACATATTATTAATTCATTTATCAGTTAATTGATGGACATCTAGGTCGTTCCTACTTCGTAGCTGGTATGAATAATGCTCTATGAACATTCATGTACCAGTTTTTGTGTTCACATGCGTCTTCATTTCTGTTGGGTATATACCTCAGAGTAGAATTGTTGGATCCTGTGGTAACTCTATGTTTAAGTATTTCAGAAACTGCCAGACTGTTTTCAAAGCAGATGCATCATTTTACATTCCCACCTGCAATGTATGGCAGTTTCAACTTCTCCATGTCCTTGTCAACACTTCTTATTGTCTGTCTTTCCAAATACAGTCATCCTCCTGGGAGCAAGTGGTATCCCATTGTGGTTTTGACTGACATTTCCCTGATGGCTAATGAGGCTGGAGCATCTTTCCATGGGCTTATTTTATGAGAGCTGTTTAATAACCTTGTCCCTTCCACTCTGAGCTGTTGTCAGAGAAAGCATTCTTCCTGAAGAAGGGTTCTGTGAGGACAAAACAAAGACAGAGTGGCTCAGAAATATCGACAGCCGTAGTGTATGATTTCATTCTGGCCACAGAATCACGGCAAGTCTATGCTTTCCTACCTACCCATTTATTTTCGAATTAGAATATTCAAGATTTGTTAAAAGTGTTTTAGAAAATACCTAGGACCAAGTATGCTTTGCATTTTCACCGTTCTCATTAGTGAGAAGGAGCTCTGTTATCCCACGTCTAGTTGCGTATTTTATACCATTTAAAGGATGACATAAAACATTCCACATTTACTTCCAAAAGATCGGTGTTAAATCTTTACATCTTTGAACAAAAGTAAATATATCACATGTAAGTTAGAATGCTTATTGAGAAATTTCTTGTGTCATATAAGAAATATGACATGCTAAATAAACCCTTTTTATTGTGAATACAACACACAAAAGCAATGATACATATCTATATAGTTTAACAAATTATTGTAAATATTGTAAGTATCCATGTAACTACTATTGAGCACAAGAAATAGAGCATTGTCAAGACCTCAAAAGCTATATGGCCGCTTTCCTGATTATAATCTCTTTTCTCCCCTCTGACCTTTATGATAATATGTTCCTGACTTTTCTATATAGTTTTATTATCTAAATAGGCATTTCTCATGTATAGATAAGTTCAACCTGGTTTTGGACTTCACAAGAAAATTGTACAGTATGGATTATCTTGTGCCTGGCCTCTTTTGCTCAAAATTATGTTTTATAATTTATCCATGTTGTTGTATGTAGATTTAGTTCCATCCATTTCACATCTGTATACTATTCTGTCTTATGAATATGTCATTTTCCTTATCCATTCTCCTGTTAATGGACATCTGGGTTGTTTGCAGTTTGGGCGATTACAAACAATGTTGTTCTTGTGAGTGTATCTTGGTGTACATGTACCAAGTTTGTCTAGGGCATATACCTAGTAGTGGGATTGCTCTCTTATTTGTAAGATAATTTGCAAATTATTTTTGCAAAGTGTTTGTTAATTAACATTGTCATTTGCAGTATATGAGAACTTCTGTTGTTTTACATGCTTGCCAGTACTTGGTATTGTCAGGCTTTTAAATTATAGCCAATTGGATATTAAGTGGTATCTCAATGTGTTCTTTTTTTTTTAAGATTTTATTTATTTGGGCGTACCTGGGTGGCTCAATCGTTAAGCGTCCGCCTTTGGCTCAGGTCATGATCTCAGGGTCCTGGGATGGAGCCCCGCATCAGGCTCCCTGCTCAGCGGGAAGCCTGCTTCTCCCTCTCCCACTCCCCCTGCTTGTGTTCCCTCCCTCGCTGTGTCTCTCTCTGTCAAATAAATAAATAAAATCTTTAAAAATATATATTTTATTTATTTGTCAGAGAGAGAGAGCAAGCACAAGCAGGGGGAGTGGCAGTCAGAGAGAGAAGCAGGCTCCTTGCCAAGCAAGGAGCCTGAGGCGGGACTCCGTCATGACCTGAGCCGAAGGCAGATGCTTAACTGACTGAGCCACCCAGGCATCCCTCAATGTGGTTTTGGTTGTTTTTTTTTTTTTTTTAAGATTTATTTATTTATTTTAGAGGGAGGG